CCACACCTTGCTTCTGCATAGTGTCTGAGTCCCCGGGTGTCATCAGCTTAAGCCTGGAATCATGAGTGAGAAAATGGAACATTCTTCCTTTAGTCTGAGCTACCACACAATGGGTCCCGGGTTCCCTGGCTAAGTGGATGGGGAGTTGTTGCCTCTAAATTATCTTCTGCAGGCTGTCTGTGCTTTTGGGAAAACTGTCTAGGTTGGGAGTCTCTTCCAGAACTGGGTGACAACAACAGATCATAGCTGTGGAAACTCAGGGGCAGGATCTGTTAGATTTGGGCAAGTGACAAGCAGAGACTAAATCAGGCACATGCCCACGCTTGCTCTCTGACCTGAGAGTGACAAATTAGGCCTCTGAAAGATTGGGTTTGGGACAGATTTCACCAGTGTCTCCACATCTGCCCCCAGCAGAGCTACCCCACAGTTGTCTCAAATACCCTTCAAGATATATTTGGAAAAGACGTTTTGATCTGCCCATCTGTTATGTTTATGATCATCCACTACACAACTTCCTCAGCATCTCTTTCTTCTGAGTTCTAGAAATATATAGTCTCGTAGGGAGAAGCAGAGACATGCTCACCCACCATCTTATTCCAGATAGCAACCAAGTCATTTACCCAAGAGAACAGGTACGCTGGCCTGTGGTGCTGGCCCTGCAAGGAGGCACTTGGATAGAGGAGGGATGACTGGCTTTACAGCCTTTATTTGTCTTCTATATTTAGTACCCTCTTGAAAGCCCTTGGCAGGTCACCACAGCCAGCACTGTGGTGACCTTAGGTGATGCCACTCTCCTAAATCCTGATGGCTTAAAGCTCTTCACTAATTTTCCTGAGGGTAGCAGCTGTCATCATCTAGGAATATTTAACCAAGACTCTGCTTTAAATTTCTGAATAACTGTAAAGAAAGGAACACAAAGTCATGGACATCTCTATACACTGGGGTTTCCTACAAGAGACCTGGGCTGAATTTCTCCAGTCAGAGGCTACCTCCATCTGCTGCCCTCACTAGAGAGATTGGTACCACCCTTTTTTGTCTCAGTTCTCCTTCAAAGATGCAGTATCTCCTTCCATGTATAATAATGTCACATAATGTCACATAACCACAATTTCCTAATCTCTGCTATATACAGACTAGCAGGCAGGGAGAGAAAATGAGTGAGAGAGACAATAGTACATTTTGTTCCTATAGTTAAGTATTGTGTAATAGTAATAATAAGTAAAGGCGATAAGATTTGAGATCTTTGGCTGATCTCTCCTCCCTCTTCAAATAGTCAAATGGTGTCACACACACCTCCTCCATGACCGCTCAGCTAACAGACTTAAGAATCTTGTTAGCAAAGTCATGTGGTTTCACAAGAGATGTGGTGTATTTAACAACAGACCATTATTTAATGTCTTCAGCTCTGTGGTCACTGTCTCTTGCCTGCTCACCCTACCCTCTGTCATGATGACCTCTCAAATATCATCTGGAGGCTGTCTGTGCTTTGGGGGAGAACTGTCTAGGTTGGAATTTTCCTGAAGAACTAGGTGACAACAGTTCAAAGTTATAGAAACACTGGGACAGGCTATGTTGGACTTAGGAAAGTGACAAGCAGAGTGAGAATACAATGGAAAGGATCTTCGAATGCTATTTTTTTAAACAAAATGGTCATTAACTAAAATACATCACTGCCTACAAGAATATGACACCTGACAGTAAGTACTTCCCATAGCACATATGAGGGAGCCATCATGAGCAGGAGCAGTTTTGTTAATGTCCTGTCTAGAACCTGCTACCAGGAATGGAGATTAGTGTAGCACTGAAACAGACAACAACCAAGCTCTCATAAAAATAACAGCCGAATAAAGAAGTCTCTCCAATGCTAACTGTGTATGTATCTGGTTTCTGCTAAACATTAGAGATGAAGATGAAAAGATTTGGTCCTTTCCTTTAGGGGGGTCTTAAGCTCTGCAGGTGAAGTTTATCTTGATTTTTGCCATAGAGACTTTTGTGGTATGTAGATTTCATACATACATTTGCATTCACAATATAACTTACTTTTACCTATGTTATAATTCATATAAACTGAATGATGCTGCGGAGTTGGTTGTGTTGGCTTTCTTTTGCTCAGTGTTGTATGTATTGGTAAACTTGTGGCTGCGGTTAGTTTTCTTTGCTCTATAGCATTCCACTGAGTGAGAAGTTCTCACAGTTGATTTACTCCTGTAGCTGGACTTTGGGGAGTACTTCTCATTTAACTGTTACCAACAGAACCCCACAAACACTGTTCTATGTACATCTTGATTCATAGGCATAAATGATACTTTAGGAGTGGTATGGATGGGTCACTAGATATGCACCTTAAAGTTCACTACACAGAAAATGGTCAAAGAGTTGTAGCGATTTCCATTGCCACAAATAAAGTCTGATGCAATCAGACTTAATTCCAGACATTCTGATGGTCCTTCTTCTCATTATAAGTTAGTGTCTATTGTAACACAAGTTCTAATAGGTCTTAATAATTAAAACCTGGAGTCACATATAGGGGGGAAATGCTGAGAGATCAGAGAAATGAGGGAGCAAAACCACAGTCACCTACTCAACTTGCTAGCTGAAAAGAGAATGAGTTCCTGTCTCCTCCCACCATATCACTTCCTGTCTGTCTGTCCAGACCTCCAGACCTCTATGGTTAAGTAGTGGCTAGCTCCACTCTCTGATCTTCAGGCAAGCTTTATTTGTTAGAGTATAAACAAGATATCACTGAAGTATACAACACACAACTTTTTTTTTAACATGAGTGCCTCCCTTTTTAACTTTTCTTATGCTAATAGATAAGCACATACATTTTAATTTTAACGCAGTCACATCTATTGATACTTTCCTTTTACAGTTAGTCCTTATTTTAAAAAAACTTCCTTAATTTAATTAAAAATTATCACTACCTCTGAGCTAAATCTTCTCCTGCCCTTTCTCATTTTTGATTTTATGTGAGATAGTGTCTCCCTAAGTTATGATATTACTCTGCAGTCCATGCAGGCCTTGAACTTGCTATCACCCTTCTTTAACCTCCTGAATATGTAAGAACTACAAGCCCAAGCCATCAAGCACAGATTTATATACGTTTTTTAAGAAACATAGTTAGAATATTTGCATGAGAATATATTGAGTTTTTTCTTTTCTTATATCTATAAGCACATTTTAGACTAGACTTAATAGGTCTACAAAACAAGCAACAAGCTGCTTTTGATTCTTAATTGGGTTCCTGTAACATGTATGTTTTGGAGAAATTACATCTTTACAACAGACAACAGTTTTAAAGTATTTTTTGACAATGTTTTATAATGTCTACTGAGAAGTCTCATCTATTTATTCTCATTTATTTCATATTTTGAGTGCCTAAAGTTAAAAATCATTTTGGTTTGTAGTTGTCTGTGGTTCTTTCATATGGGCGTTGTTTTTGTATCAGTCTTACTCAGGCTCTTACTGACTCTAACGCCCTGTCTCTAGATACTTGCCTCATTCATGTGCGTCATAGAAGTTGACCCTTTCTTTTTTCTTCTCCTCCCTAGTCCTTACACCTTCCTCTTCCTTCTATTTCTGAGTCATGCTTACTAAGTCCTCCAGGATGAAGCTCAGCCCAAATGGGAAAGGTGTCATCTTTTTCTTAGTCCAGGTAACACAAGAACAGCCTAACAGCACTTCTCAATTTTAGATGATACTTCATACACAATTAATAATCATTAGTGAATAATGCATACTACATATTTATATAAAGACACATATAGATGTATGTATGCAGACATACATCTACTCATCATGTAAGGGGAAGGAAGTGTCTATCTATAGTTTCCTGAGATTTTAAAAGTCATGACTAGATATTGGATTTTAGAATACCTTCCTGCATCTCTTAAATTACCATTCCATTTATTTCTTTAAATATGTTAATATGGTGAATTATATTACTCTATTTGGTAAAATTAAATGAACTTTGCATTTCTGAAATCAGCCCTGATTTTCAACACTCCATTAAGTCAACTTGATCCTTTCGGGGAAGAGGGATATTTCAGCTATGTTCATGAGTGACCTGGCCCCTCAGTTTGGCTTTTGCTCCACTGTCCTTGTCAGATTTGGTCATCAATACTATGGAAATTCAAAATTAATTTGGAGTTATTCCTGTCTTTTTCCCATTCTTCAGAAATTTTTATGCCAAACAGAAATTATCAGCTTCCTGTAAGTTCAATAGAGTATTCAATTTTCTCTACCTGAGCTCAAATATTAAAATCATTGGATCAATTCCTATATTGTTAGAGAATTCTTAATAATGCTTCATTGTATTTGTATGGAATGTATTTTATATTGTGAAATTACATTTAAATTGTTATTATACTTTTCAGTTCTTCTGACAAGTGACAAGACCAGTTTAATGAACACTTCCTTTAACACATGGCTTGTCAAAACTCACCACTTTGTTTCACCTGCTTGCATGGAACTATTTTCTTTTATTTTTCTTTCCATCTCTCCTTTGTTCTTCATAGACACGCAAATATATGCATGACTACACCTGGACACATATTTTCTGGGACCATAGGAGTTAGTTGTAGATGTGCTGATTTTTACCCTCAAAAATGTTTTACTAAGCATGCCCTTGGTACCATTCTCAGGCACAGTTCATCACTACAACTCTGCAACCTAATGGCAACCTGGACTCGCATATCCCTAGTGCTCCAAATGTCACAGGCTTGAAAGTCTATGTTTTGTTTGTTTGTTTGTTTGTTTTTGGCTTTTTTCATTGATGTAAGTGCTAAGGAAAAAGCACATGCTACAATTTCCATTTTGTAGCAAGCATTCTTCCAGTCAGCTTGGTCCCAGAGCCTTGTCAGCTCCAAATGAACACAGAGACGCTATATTAGTTATGAAACTGTTGGCTGTTAGCTAGACCTTCTTACTGGATAGCTGTGACTTAATTATTAACCCACAACTACTAATCTAAGTATTTCCACATGATCTTATCTTAACAGGAATGCTGGACCTGCAGCTCCATTGCCTGCGACTTGATGACTGCTCAGCATCTCAGTAGAGAAGAGAACTATTTCCTGTTTGTTCCTGCTTTAATCCGGATTCTGCCCAGCTATGTCACTTCCTGCCTGTCTATGCAGACCTCCAGACCTTTATGGTTAGCTAGTGGCAGTTTCTGCCCAGCTACATCACTTCCTGGGATCACATTGTGACTCCTCTCTGCCTATACTTCCCAGAATTCTTCTTGTCTCCTACTCTTACCTACCATCCTGCCTGGCCAATCAGTGTTTTATTCATTAACCAATAAGAGAAACATATACAGAAGAACTTTCCCCATCGTCATTTCTTACTACTTTCCTTTACACTAGAATGATTTCAAGCTTGCAAAATATGTTAAATAATTTCAACATTTTAAGATGATCTTCAGTTTTTTAGGATTTATTTATTTCATCAGAGTTTAAAATTTTATTAGCATATATTATTCATAAAATAGCTTATTATCTTTTAATTATCTTTAGCACACTTGGTTTTATACTTCATATCATTCTTAGGAGTGCTAATGTGCATTTTATTCCCTTTTATAGATTAATAGTGCCAGAGTTTTGCCTAATTCAATGTTTTCAAAGCACTGTCTTCAGTTTTATTAATCTTTTGTTTCTTTTTTGTCACTGATTTCTCTTGTAAATCATTATTATTCCTTTCATTCTACTTGTTTATGGTATTATAGTGTTTTTTACTTCTTATGTAGAATGCTTTTAACCCATTAAATACAAATTAAAAACATTTTCTAATGAATGAATTAGGGCTATACTTTCTCTCTAAGCAGTAATTTAGTAATAACTGAATTGATTAATATATAGCATATGTATTATATTTGATGTAGTATAGTTTAATAAATATATACAAGGTGTTGAATTTTGTAACTCATGTTTTAGTTTGTATGCTTTACACTTTTATGTGTGTCTGCATGTGAATTTATGCATGTGTGACACCAGAGGAGGGCATTAGATCTCCTAGACTTGGCATTACAGACAGTTGTGAGCCACCCGACATGAATGCTGGAAGCCAAATCACAGCCATCTCTCCAGTTCCTAGATTTTATCTTTTAATTTAAGAAATGAAAGTTTGATATCATTTACTATCGTTTTAAAATTAACAGAGAGAAATAATGGCGTTTTCATACATGTGTCACTGTGCTCAGTGCCTTCCCTTGCTTTTCTCTCTATCTGGTCCCTTTTCTCTTCCTAAGAAGCCCTCCTTCTGTCTCATGTCTCTTTTTTAATTAAAAAAATCTACATTCAGCAGATGAGAGAGAACATGCAATATTTGTCTTTCTGGGTCTTCCTTATTTCACTTTACATGATGGTCTCCAGTCTCACACATTTGACATAATTTCATTCCTATTGACAGTCAACTAAAACTCTATTGTGTATGTGCATTGCATTTTATTTTTCCTTTCTTTTTCATAAAGCCATAACTTATATAATATGCTTTGAGCAAATTCCTTCCATATCTTTATTTCCTCCCCATCACACTCAAGCAACTCCCATTAGTCCCCTTTCCATTCACCTACAATTTTATTTCTCCTTTCAGGTCATTTGTAAACATATGACTTTACATAGATCATACGTATGATAAAAGACATGATATTCACAGTATGATAATCTTCCAGTTGCATGTATTTTCCAGTATACCTTCATTTCCTTTACAGCTGAAAAATGCCATTATGTATAAAAACCACATTTTCCTTATCCATCCACCCATTGATGAACATCTAGACTAATTCTGCACCTCGGCTATTGTGGACAGTGCTGCAGTAAACACAGGTATGCAAATATCTCTTTGATGTTCTGGCTTGGATCCCTGTGGGCGTATATACCAAAAATAATACCACTGGGCCACATGGTCATCTTATTATTTGTATTTTGAGGAAAACAACTCACACTGTTTTCCAGAGTGGATATACTAATTTATACTCTTAACAACAGCATACAGAAGTTGCTTTCACTCCATATCTTCACTAACATTTCTTGTTAGTTAGCATGGTGATAACCACTCTGGCTGTCATAAAATTAAGCTTCAATTTTCATTTCTCTGATGGTGATGGGTGTAGACTGAAGTTTCTTTCCTGAGGGTCCTGTAGCCATTCAGTCTCACGAACACACAGAGGCTTATATCAATGATGAACTGTTTGGCCTATTGCTCCAGCTTCTTACTAACAAACTCTTACAACTTACATTAACCCATAATTCGTATCCATTTTTAGCCACGTGGCTTGGTACCTTTTCTCAGTAAGGCATTCTCATCTTGCTTCCTCAGCATCTGGCTGACCACTGTGTCTCTGCCTTTCCTCTTCCCAATTCTCCTAGTCTAGTAGCTCTGCCTATACTTCCTGCCTGGAGTGTTTTATTAAATCAATATGAGTGACAAATCTTTACAGTGTATAAGAGCATTACCCCACATCAGATGTGTGTTAGACATTTCTTCCTATGTTAACCGGCCAGTTATTTTTCTTATTTTGAGAACTATTTGCTCAGCTCATCAGTGTACATATTGATTAGATGCTTTGATGTTTTTGTTTCACACATTGATTAGATGATTTGGTGTTTTTGTTTCACATATTGATTAAATGATTCAGTGTTTATTTTTTCAAGTTGTTTATATGTTTTAGTTATTAACTCCTTTTTCTATTCTATTTTTCTATTCTAGGTTGTCTGTTCACTTTGTTACTTTTCTGTGAGAATACTTTATTTTTTCTTTTTGTGTGTGCTCTTTTGTTTGTATTAATTTGAATGCTACTTTAAGACTATATTTGCTTGGTAGTCACACCTTCTATGCTTCCCTTTTCAGAGGATGAAATGGACAGCTTACAAATTATAGCAGGTTATAGTGACTCCACCTGATTTTCAGCCCATGTAGTTAGCCTTGAACCACAGGGAACAATGATTCCAGCCTATGATTTCATTATCTGGCAGCAGCTTCCCCTAGAACCTCTGAGTTCTAAGGCTTCATAACTATTTCATCATGACCTCTACTTATATCCTGGAGGATAGATCCCAGCAGGTCCCAATAACACTAAACCCACATTATTCTCCACCCGCTATTGAGGCAGGTTTTGCTTTCTGTGGTGATGTTTGCATCTGAGCCCTAAGAAAACTGAAATCTCACCCTTGGGCACTAAATCCAACCCAAAGGATATTGGCTATCTCTCATATATGTTATATCCATATGATTTATTAGTCTCTTTAACTCCTATTCCATTTCCCTGATAAGCACTACCTATATTAATTTCCTTGTTGAAATAACTGTGGAGTTTTAATCTCTTTATAGTTTTTTGACAGTTTATTTTCTAGAAATTACATAGTATTGTTCAATACTTAAAATGCAGTCTATTTCCTTCAAAACAGAAACTAACCTTGTTATTTTATATTGTAACTATTTGTTTATATTTAGACAAGTATCTATCAATACCTTTACTCCTTGTTTGTATTAGTTTCTTATCAATTCTGTAAAAAATCACTAATTTAGTGCTTCAGAACAAAACGTGTTCATAATTTTGTAGCACTATAACCAAGATGTTTCCCTGGGCTTAAAACCAGGGAAGTTTGGGGAAAGTCTTCATGATTTTGCCTTTTTCAGTTTATAAGTTATCTACATCCCATGGCTAGTGGCTCTTACTCTCCATCGTCAGTCTGCACATTGCACTAACTCACCTCCGCGTCACCTCTCTGTGTAAGGCAGAGGTCCCAAGGATAATGGTGCCCACCACAGCATTCCTTCTGGCGTCTGTGACTGCTTTCCTTGTTTCTTTACAAGTGCTATAAGCAAGAATCATTTAGGCAATAAACTCTTGCATTCCTCTTTTACCTGCAGATGGCTACATTCCATTTTAATTTTTTAGAGAGGTAGCTTGGAAGTCATCTTCATCCAGCCCCTGCATATTGACTCCTACTATTACCACAGCAAAGTCAGCATCAAGTCACCCATTTGCCATTTATCTCTCTGGTAGCCTGTGATTTTTTTCTATTAACTGTTTGGGTTAAACTTTTATGTAGTTTGGTCTGGATTCAAAAACATTGCTTTATTTTGTACGTATCAGAAATTCTGTACTCACGACTCTGTGGTTCTCAGCATTTCTGGGATATTCCTAAACACTTTCTGCTTTTATATTGTCTGTACTAGTGTTTCTCTCTTGTGTTCTGCAGTCTGCTAAGACAAGATTCTTTCCCATCATTCAAGTACTCTTACCCTTGTATCTTTTTACTCTCATTATCTTAGGTACTTATTTGAAACTATTTTTTATATAAACATTTCTTCTCAGCTATATAAGATTTGTTGATTGATTTGTACATTTGGTGCTTTTTATTTCCACAAATATTTTTTATTTCTAAAATTCTTTTCACACACACACACGTACATTTTGGGCAGTGTAAACGTGTGTATGTGTGTGTGTGTGTGTGTGTGTGTGTGTGTGTGTGTGTAACGAAGAAGATAACCTTGGGTCTTCCACCTTTTGTTTAAGACAGTTTCTCATTGACCTACAATTTCACCAAGTGAGATAGACTAGCTGGCCATTAGGTTCCCAGGGATCTACCTGTCTCTGCCTCCCATCTTGGCATTGCTGCATTCTTCCAAGTGTGAGTCACCACACCTGGCTTGGGATATGGATTCTGGTCCTCAGGCTTGGGAGACACAGTTTTACCCACTGAGTCATTTCCCCAGCTGGGGTATTTATTTTGACAATGACATTTCTGGTTATTCATTAGTGGCTCCTAGAATGCTTTTAAACTCTTATATCTTAGGGTATGTATTTTTAATTATTTAGATTTCACCTTTCTGGATTCTAGTTATGTGACGAGTTTGTGATATGTTGTTCTTGCTGCTTCCTACTCAGTTCTGTATAGTTAGTTTTAAAATTCATGCTGTGTATTTAACCCCAAACAACCCATGTGAAGTTATACTCCTTGGTGAATACATTTGTTTCTGTTGCTTGCTGGTATTAGTACCTTGAAATTTTAAATTTCTGCTTCAAGTTCTTCTAGAATGCCCAAGAAAAATTGATGAAACACACACACACACACACACACACACACACACTGGTTATAGGTGAATGTTCAAGGGAGCTACTGTTTC